GGGGGGGGGGAATGGGAGGACGAAAGGGATTGGAGCATCGAGAGATGGGGTGGATAACCAATCCCCAATCTATCTTTCAAACTTATTGCAACCGGCGCTGGCATCTCCCTCGAGTATAACGAGCTGCATTGCACGTTGGCGCTTTCCTTGCTTTCTATGTCGAGAGTTCAAGCACGCGTGGGTGTGCGGATGGATCACAGCGATCAAGATCCGAATCAAGCATGTATGTACCATGGCATGTTTCAGGTTGCGATGTATGTCTCCTCTATGTGCCTCTGGGAAGGAGGGTTGAGTGGCCAACACGGTGCTGGCGCGCCTCTCTCTTTGGTTCCTTGCACCTCTGGGTGGGGGGGGGAGGTTACAACCATGTACACCGAACCAAAGAAACTAAGAACTGGTTCCAGACGGCCGAGAGGCGAATGTGCGCCGACGCGTTCCTAGCACGGAAACAAAGAGCGGGTGATCAGCGCGTTTTCCTTGGAGGGGATCGCCAGTTTGCTCTGAATTTGCCAGGCTGAGGAGTGAGACGAGCGAGAGACAGGGCTGCCGCGACTCTCGCGGCGGGCATCTGCCACAACCCTATTTCCGATCTGCGCCCATCGGTGTGGGGGTTCTGTGGGAGACTGACTCCCAAACCACAGACCAGCCTGTGAGCCAGGCGGCCCAGCCAATGAAGAGCGGATTGGATTCTGGTGAGATGTGAAATGGTTGGGCGGTGATTTGAAGGGTTGCGCGGGGACATATGTATGGCCATCACCGCCGAGCAGGAGCAGAGGGTGGGACTGGGAGGCGCGAGCAGAGCAGTCTATCATCATCATCATCATCGTCAGCCATCATCACATCACACCTCCTCTGCATAGAGGTGGAGTTGGGTGCAGCGGACATACATATTTACATGCTGGCTGTTGGATGCTCCTCCCACATCGACCGCCTCGTGCTTATCATTCAGCTGTATCCCCCGCTCTGTGCACCCTGTACGCCCTGACTCGCCCTCACAGCCCACGCTCGCGCCTGCGTTGCTCTCATCCTCGTCTCCTGCATATACACCACAGCGCTGGGCACCAGCAGCAGCAGCGACACATTCGGCTCGAATCGACCCCAATCCCGCGCAGCCCTCTACGCAGCAACGCATTGGAGCCGGCTTCCACATTGGCGCAGACATCCCCTTACGCAGCGGCGTCTGGCGTGAGAGCAAAAGCAAGCGAGTGAGGGATCCTCCCCCCCCCCCAAACCCCATCCCGTGTCCTCTCTTCTTCCTATCAGATCCAGACTGACGCAGCGCAATGCACGGCGACATCAACCTTAGCATTTCACCGCCCCCCTGCAACGACCCCCAGCGCTATTCATCTCATCCATCTATCTATCACCAATACTATCACTATCACCCGAGCAACAGTAGCTACTATGTCAATCGCAGCGCTCCCGAAAGCCCTGCAAATCTACATCAACCCCCCTCCTGCTGCTGCACCTGGACCTAGGGGCGGCGGCACAGCTAGCCGCGCCGGCTCCGTCGCCAGCGGCGCTCCCCGGAACGCCGTTGCTTCCCGTACAGGAATAGTGGCAGCAGCGGCGAAGAGTGGGAATAGCAGCGCAGGCACAGCGCCCACACTGCCCTTTCATCCCCTTCTACCCGCCAGCTATGCACCGAAAGGCCTCAAGGCGCCGCCGCCTTCTCCTTCTCCTGTTTCCGCTGCCGGAGCTTCTAGCGCAAGGGAGGCAGGCGCCACAACCAGCAGCAGCAGCTTTGCGAGCACGACCCCAAGCAGCTTTGGCGAAGCGCTGACTATCCTGCGTACCGGAAAGCAGCAGCCGCTCCCGCCAGAGTGGTGTCTGACGTTTGTCATGCCACAACAACAGCAACAGCAGTACACCGATCCCCCGAGTCGTTCTGGCGCACACTATTCTGCCGCCACCGGAAGCAACATCCCACGAGCTCGTGCCCCCACCGCCGCTGTCTCCTCCTCCTCCTCCGCCTCCGCCTCGTCTTCTTCTGCTTCCACAACTTCATTTTCGAGACGCAAGGCCGTAAAGGTATTTCGCAGTCCGTCTGCCAGGGCTGCAGCCCCAGCCGCAGCTACCTCCACCACCGCTTCCACTCCGTCAGCAAGCGAACAAAGCGACCACGCACGCGGCTCCCTTCCCGGGCGCCAATATGCACAGCCGGCCGCGACAGCTGCTGCCCGTACAAGCAAACAACAGCAGCAGTGCCACATCGTCGCGCCGCGCACCGCCCACCCGCTCCTGGCTACCACACGCACCTGGGACGCGCAGACGGGCCGGCGCGCTGACATCTTTGCGCTGACCAACGACCGCTACCCCGGCGCGCCAGGCACAGTGCTGCACAAAACCAGGGAGAGCGCCGTCAAGGCCGCCCTTGCGGCTAAGCGCGAGATGGCCCGCCTTGCGGCCAAGAAGGCTGAGCTCGAGCACATTCTTGGCTTTGGCACTGGCGCTGCGCCGGCTGGCGGTGGAGGTGCGGGTGGTGGTGGCGGTGGCGGCTTGTCAGCAGGATCTTACGTGAACAGCAACGGCAGTGGGAGCGCGAACGGGGCGCATTCAGCAGCAGGAGCAGTTGCAGCCGCAGACGGCCTGGCGAGCCTGCTGGGGGCCGACGCAGCGCTCATGAACGGCCATGGACAGGTGACGCTCGTGCGCGAACACACCTCTGCGCTCGGCAAGCGCCAGCGCAAGAGCGCCTCGCCGTACACGATGCCGTACACGTCCACCGGCGCCAGCGCCGGCCCTGCGGCCAAGCGCGCGCGCAAGGGCGCAGCGAGAAGCGCCAGCGCCGCTGACGACGGCAGGAGCAGCCGCGCCGGCTCTACAGAACCCGCCGACCACCACTACCCGTCGCGTACGCGCCGGCCGCGGTCACGCGGCGCGTCGCCTGGCCCGCTGGCTGCCGGCGCTGCTGCTGGGCCTGGCGCGAGTGCAGCGGGGGGCGGGGATGCTGTTGACGCTGCCGCGGTCGCCGACGGGCTCTCCAGCCTGCTGGCGGCAGGCACGCGGCGCGGCGTCAGCGGCCTGAGCAAGGAGTTCAAGCCGATGCCAGAGGAGGATGAAGAGGCAGAGGTGGAGGAGGCGGAGGGAGTGCATCGCGCTGCGGACGATGAGGGTGATGCGCCCGCCATGGCTGAGACTGGCGACGCTGGCGTCGCTGTCGCCGCCGAGGAGGGCGCGAGCAGAGCAGCAGACGGCAGCAAACGCAGTAATAGCAACGACAATGACGCGAAGCGCGCGTCCGACGCCGACGAGGAGGCGTCCACCCACGGGAAAAGTGCATAGGCCTCCGCCGACGCAGTGGGCTCCGCTTCGTGATTCGCGATTCAAGCGCTTCCTGCTGCAGGCAGACCACCCCTACATGCCGATCTCTCAGGGATGCTTTGTTTCTATCGACGATCAGCACAGTTATGTTGCATCGGAAGCATCACCCCGCACCAGTAAGCAACTGCCTCTTCCTCCCTCTTCCTGATAGAGCATCTCGCTATCACATGTCGATGGCGACCCACATTTTATGCTACGTATACTACTAGATTGGCCAAGCATATTCACGCCAGCGCCGCGCACAGCCTCCTGCCTGCCTTCTCGAATGAACCCTCTGGGTCGGGGACAAAGGGCAACCGGTGGATCGGGGCCCAAAGAAGACAGCGTTCAGCGCGACAGGGTTCAACCATGTAAAACGTTAAGGGTCAAGAGTCCATCAGGAGCATGGATTGGTATGGTGCTGTTGGTCAAAGTGCGACTATGGGAGAAAGATGCTGCATGGGGAAATAATGATCCGAGTAGAGATGCAACGCAACATAACAAGAGCTGGAAGCGTCGGCTTGAGCTAGAGCTGAAGTTTGGACGAGTCGGGCAAACACTTGGCAGGAGGGAGGATAACATTGCGGGTGAGCTGCGGAGCGGAGGGGTCGTCATAGCTGGATCGTAAGACGTGACGAATCGTGAGCGTGGGAAGGCGCGTCAAAGTGCCCTGCAGACCGGATGTCTCTATTTAAACCAAGACTTTTTCTTCTGTGTTGGGTTTCCTGCTTCTGCTGCCTGTGGCTGCTGCGAAGGAGGCGGCGTCGGCATCTGTCGATTGCCCATCGCATTTCCAGCGTGCGGAGCCATCGGATAGCTCGAGGGCAGCATTTGCTGGCGATGTTGCTGCTGCGGCGATGCCTGCTGAGCTTCCTGCTTGTGTAGAAGAGCTAGTCGCTGCTGCATGCGCGCCTCCTCCTTGTCTCGTGGAGACAGAGGCCCACCGGGGACACCCGCTTGCATCTGCGGATGCAAGCCAGCAGGTAGTGCCGCGCCAGGAGGAGCAGCCGAGAAGGATTGCCGCGAACGATGCATGGGCATCTGCTGTGAGTACATGGGAGCGGGAGCGAAGGACGAGTATGCATCGGTGGCCATGGACATTGGGCGCGAGCCTCCCGGCGACGTTGCCGAGGGGCCGACAAAGGAATCCTGCGAATCTTGACGATGCGCCCGAAAGCCTGCGTGCTTGCGTCGATCTGCTGCATCTGGATCACCGATCCACTGTGACAGGCGCGGATCAAAGTTTCGCGGCTGAGATGGCCTCTGTTCTACTGGTGGCGCAGGGAGAGGTACTTGTTGGCTGGCTCGCTTTGCCGCGGGACCAAGGCCGCTTGCAGACATCCTTGACAATGCACCGATACGCTGGTTCGCTCGGCGGTCGCCATGCTCCGCAGCAAGCTTGTACCAGCTCTTGGCATCACGTAAATCCTTGACAGTGCCAATGCCCATCTGGAACAGAGCATGTGCGAAAGTTTGTTAGCTTACCTTGCAAGAATGATGAGAAAGGCAAAGGGCGCCAACCGATAGCATTGCTCACCTCGGTAAAGTATCCAACCGCGTATTCTGCCTTCGCCAAGCCTTGTTCTGCTGCCTTCTTGGCCCACAAGTACGCCTCGGTGTCGCTCTGCGGCAAGATGCCCGGCGCCCCCACGAGATACCACGCTGTTAAAGCAAAGCAAGCCTCCTTGTGGTTTTGTTGTGCGGCTGGAGAGGTGAACGTGTTGAAAGTCAGCGTTGGCCCTTGAGAAATAGATATTACCAGATTCAACACTCGTCAAGATTCACCAATGTTGTACATGTGGATACTCAATCCCCCGTCTTGCGGGCATCCCATCCGTCCATATTCGTAGTTGACACCAAGCTTGTACGCGCTTGGGGCGTAGCCCATCTCTGCGCTCTGCGCCAGGAGCTCGCAGGAATACTCGGGATCGACAAAAACAACATTGTCAACTCCACGCTCATGCAGGAGCGCTAGCTCGTGCAGCGCATGCGGGAACTCCGGGGTGGCAGCCTCGGCGGAGCGCTTGAGCCATTTGACGCCCTCCTTTGCGCTCTTCTTGAGCCCCAGCTCACCATTGAGCTCGGCAGTGGCGAGACGGTACATGGCGCCTGGGTGGCCTTGCGAAGCTGCTTTGCGGTAGAACTGCAGGGCCTTAGCATTGTCCTTGCGGCAGCCCCAGCCTTTCTCCTGGCACGTCCCCGCTCGGTAGGCGGCGTCTGGATGACCGTGCTTGGCGGCGAGAATGAAGAGCGGGTACGCCTTGTCAAACGCTTGCTTGCCGCCAGGTGTCCCGATGCCATTGGCGTAGCAATCGGCCAAGAAGTACTGCGAATCTGCATGCCCGCGATCAGCAACCTTCTTCAGGAGGCCAAGCGCTTCCTTAATCAAGTCTTCCTTCGCAGCCTCTTGGCCTGCAGCGGGCGCCCCCTCTCCGCCACCCTCCACCATCCCCATCGTATTTGATGCATCGATCATGAAAACGGAAAACTCGTAGATGAGGTTCGGGTCATTTGTCTTTCTCGCGTTTTGGCGGTACAGCTCGAGCGTCTTTCCATGCGATAGAAGAGCGGCTTGCTGACCCGGCTTGAGATGGCTATGGTTGAGCAATGCCCCTGCTGGGTTGGCCGGTGCAATCGACCTTGGGCGATCATTTGCAGGGCCCGTCGGAGTGTGAGCAGACGAGGTGTTGGGAATGTTGCTGGCATTCGTATTGATTGGCGGTGGCATGTTATTGCCTCTCCGAACCCCCCATCTATTAGTCTCATCGTCGTTCGTTGTCGAATTAAGCGTCTCGCCGCGATGATACGCCGCAATACGAGCTGACTGTGTCTGTCCATCTCGGCTGACTGTCTCCGTTCCTGGAAGCGGACCACCAAGGTCCGTACCGCCAAAGAACGAAGAAGGACGTCCGCCTATGGCTCCGCCCGTCATCGCACTGTCGTTGTCCAATGCACTGGCGCAGCCGCCCATGCTGGAGCCCGTGTCTGGTGTGGCGTACGCGCCAAGTGGAGTCCTAGTACGACCTGCTGCTCCAGCGGTTGCTGCGTCGCTCTGACCGTTATTGATACCAAAGAAGCTGTTTGGACGAGTGCGCTGCCCACTACCTTCGGGGAAAGGGCTTTCATAGTCATCATCGGCGTTCGGGAGCTCGGATGGGTGTGCAATGCCCGCTGACTTTGTTGCTAACAGATCTTGCGGCGGCATGGTTGGCATGCCAGTTGCATGTGGCCCGGGTTGAGGCAGCGGCCAACTGGCGCCGGTAAAAGGAATTGAATCGCGGCTTAATGGCTCTGCAGAGGAAGTAGAGCTCGCAAGATAGTAGCTTGCGCTCGAAACTGGACCTGCATCAGCGTATTCGCCAGGTCCTCCGTAGTTGCTCTCTGCGGTTGATGGCATCGTCACCAGCCCATAAGATGGGACTTCAGGCGCTGATGAATGGCTGCCTCTTCCTTGTTCGTGCAAATCAACCGACGCTGCTTCTGCAGCAGCTTCGAGCCTCGCGACGTCGCCGCTCTGACGGGCGATGCTCATGTTGCTGAAAGAAGGAGCGATACTTGTGCTCTGGACGCTGTCCGCGCTGAATGCACCAACACTTTGTTTGGGTGGTTGTCCGCCGTTCACATAGGCAGTGCCATTTGTGCTGCGCATGGCTGGTGATTGCACTGCACTGCTCGCCGCACTGGTTGCAGCACTTGTCTGACTTGGCGTCGCACCGAAGTTGATGTTGGCAAAGGGTTTCTCCTTAGGGAAAGTAGGATTGGTATCAAAGCTGCTGAACTCCGGGTACATGTCGCTTGCGGAAAGAGACTGTGTGCTCGGCGCTGTCGAAGCGGTCGTGGTCGTGCTGGGCGTGTTGATCGAGTTGGAACTCTGGTCGCCGGAACCAGGAAACTTGAGGCCAGCTGCAAAATCCCTGTTGAGCCCTTGGAAATCGACCAAGTGCGCTTCGACTAGGCTCTTGTCTGCAGCATCTGCTACAGGTGCTGGTGCAGCTGCACTGGCGTCTTCGGGTGTTTGGAAGCGGTTGTGAAATTGATGCACCCGCGATGCCATGTTGGATGACGACATCAGTGGCGATGCTTTTACTTGACGAGGTTGCTGACGGCCTCCTGAGAGGACGACTAAGCAGCAATCAATCGCACGCTGGCACTCTCGTCAAAGAGCCGAATAATAGACGAACTCTCGAGACCTGCCCGCTGGGAATCCGCCGACCTGGGCAGCTTCTTCGTTACAGGAAACTTGGCAAGGGGTGGCTACAGAGCGGCCTTGGTAAAGTGCGGTGCGCGTCGAGCGGGGACAATCACCGCCGCTGCCGCTCTTCGTTGTTACCTGTTCGCAGGTTGATAATGCGCACTTTGGTCCTCATCAAAGAGTTGACTGCGGCGTTCAACAAGCATCCGAGTCAAATAGAGGGCCTGTTGTGCGTATGCACCTGGTGAGGACGAAGCGACGTGCCCTACCCAGCAAACAATTTGATACAACTCTTTTGTCGTCGACACCCCGTCTCCGGATCTGCGCTGTTTTTGGTCGCACCTCACAGAATTTCGCAACTCATTTCGATGCAAATCCGCGGATGATGGAATCAAATTCCTGTAACCGGGTGGCTCACACTGGCGCAGCGCCGTTCATAGCCCTATCACTGGAAGACACCAACGGCCGAGGTCAGATGTGCCGCTAGACAGCAGCTGCCTGCTTTGCGGGGGGACAGGGATGATGAGGCGCGCAGCGCGCCAGCGATGTGGCAACGGACACGCCGTTCGCAGCGAGGCACGCCTAGAGACCAATTCGAACTTCTTCCAAATAACGCGGAATATATGTGCCAAACCACAGCGAAGATGCCAAATCCTGCGAAGAAACTGAGGAAATAATTCACATCCATTCAAATTTCTTGAAAGTGCTTCTTTATCTTATAGATTGCTGGCCTTGTTTGGGGGATTGGCGGATTGCAAAAGTCGCACGTACCACCAACGGGACAAACCAGACTCGTGGAGACTTGGCCGCTTTGCACCTGAGCCCTTTACGGGCTACCACGACCAGACGTGCTTGCCGGGCTCTGTTTGACGTGACAATGTGAATAAAGATTGTAGAACGATGTGACGATGTATGGAAGACAACTGACATTAACGCTGCATATGTCTAGATCAGGCCAGTGGCCTCTTTTGCAAGCTGTACTTTTCCGTCTTACAGAATTTCATCGCCTGGATCCATTGGGCGACCCGGTCGTTCTCATCCGGCCACCACCGAGCATCCGAGCCCCCTTCCAAAGCGGCGTCCGGAAAGTCCGACGATATGAAGGAGTCGAGGAGCGTGCGTCGTCTTGGAGGCTCCTCCGTCTGCGCGTGCACCTCGCGCAAACTCGCTGATATTACATCCAGGACATCGTGGTAGCGCGTGCGAAGGATAAAGCGCCAGTGGCGTGCGGCCATCGTTTCTTGCTGTGTCCGCTCGATCGGATAGCACGGCGCTGCTGGTTCACTGCCCTCGTCTTTCAATACCTAGGGATGCAGCGCCCAATCCTCCAAATCCGCGTAAATCTCGCGGGCCGCAGCATCGCGCCTCGCCGCCTCTGCTTCGACTCTCTTTTTCGATAATTCCTCCTCACCATCGTCGAGTTGCAGAGGTTGGCAGAGCTCTGAGTCGATAATCCTCTTCCAGATTAAATGCAGTGCGACATCCTGTCGATACGCGCCAATGCACTCCCGGTCGCTCGCACCGCCTAGACCCTCGTCGCGGTACTCGCCGTTCATCGGACGAGGAGGGCCGAGCAGCTTCAAGTTGTCTACGTTCGGGAGCTGGAACGAGCGGTCCCTCCAGAGACGCTGGTGAATCTGCGCTGTGAATCCATCCGCGAGAATCCGCTTCCATTCCTCCATCTCCACCGGCCGTTGGCTGTACAGCGCCAACATGTTCGATAGCAACCATTGCGATGCGCTAAGTGTGCGGCATACATGCACCACCAGCGGCTCGATGAAGCGATGCACTGCAAGCGACAGCGTAGAGATGCGCAGGATGCGCGAGAGGTCGAACGTGATCTCGTCGTACGCATAACCAGTCTGTCGAGGCTGCGCGAGCGCCCAGCCGACCTTGTAACAGTGAAATGCGAAGTGGTCAAAACTGACCCTGGCCTTGTTCTTGCCGTCATTGAACGAGACGATTGCACCAGGGTCGACAAAGGCTGCAATGGCGGCGACCATGAGCACGATAGCCTGCCCATGACGAATCTCAACTGGGGTCTTGCCGCCCGTGTTGCTTGTCTGCGCGATGCGGATGAGATCATCAAGCTTGTCGAAGAACATACGCGAATGCAGACATGGAAATGCATGATGCGCGGAGGCAAAGTACCGCTTGATCAGTCGAGGAGTCGCCGGATGCAGAAGAAGGCGATTTGCTTGTGCACGCAGCCCGTCAAAGTCAGATTCGTGCAACGCAAGCTCGGGCCAGAGTGAAATTGGCCGAGACGTATCTTCGAGCCGGTCCCAAGGAAGCGAGATTATCCTGCCAGCCGGGCCAATCACACTCCAGTCCTGCTGGAAAAACGTAATCAGCCTATTGCATGATGCATCCCCATCTGACGACACGGGTGCCACTTGAATCGCTCTACGCCGTAAAGTGGGCCCCAAGCCTTCTTCAGCTGGATGTGGTAGCAGCGTAAGCCGATGCGGGTATTCACTCACCCAGACTCATCAAATAATAAACTGAATGACTCGTCAAGCTTATTCGCAAAACGAAGCGAAGCACCGACCCCGACTTGACTGGGCAGCTCGTGGCAGTTGGGTTTCACAAAAAGTGATTCGAGCTGCTCATCAACGAGCATGATTGCGTGGTGGGACGCCGCGGAGGGGGAGTTGGCAGAGCTATTGAAGTTACGTGAGGCCTTGGATGATCCGACGGCCGTAGTTGGGAAAGTATTAGACAGATCCCTGGGCGATGCGGAAAGAGCGTAGCGCAGCTCTTCTGCCATCGACGCCGGACTGTAGCTCAAAGTGGGGACGGAACCATGTCTCGGACCGCCACGGTGAGGCACTTGAGACTCGTGCTGGGGCGGCTGAGTTCCATAATGCCGGAAGGCTGCATACTCGCTGTGGGACTCGCGGGATGGTGGCGAATCCACAAGGCTTTTCAAGTGAGGCGCCTGCACCGCCTGATAGCCCGCCGCAGCAGCATTCCACCCGAGGGAACACTCGCGGCTAGCCTGAAGTTGAGGTAAGTACGTCTCACTCGCTGACCTGTGGTGTATCAGATCCGGGGTCCTCGATTGGTCACCGTTGCTTGGTGTGAGAGAAGCGAACAAGGGTGACGCGTCACCGAGTGTTGGCTGATATGTTGAGTGGTGCGCTTCTTGCGCATGAACGAAAGGAATGCTCGGCTGCAGAATGGGGCCGAACCCTGACGGGATGGTAGTTAAGTCGAAGCTGTGGGCGCTCCAGTGTGGGTTATCGATGGCGGATGTGCTGGTTGCTGAATTTGAACCGTCTGAGTCGCCATTAGACGCGACCTTGTGCGTGATGACCGAAGAGGATGATGACGAAGTAGTCGTTGCGGGCGCTGTCCCGCTGAAAGAATGTCGAGGATGCATTGGCCTGCCAGGTCGCCGAGCGCTATAGGCACTTTGACTTTGACGACGTTGCTCTTTGAGTGCTTCGCGAAAAGTCTTGTATGGCACACCCCAATCGCTGAATATGCTCTTCTGTTCACGTTTCGGGGGACCGGGAAGTAAGAGGGTATCTTCGTTGGTGCACTCAGCCCCAGCCTTGACACATCGCCCGCAAGGCTTGTCGGGTTCGAATCTTCGCTCGCACTTGGTCTTGAGCCGTCTGCATCGATCGCAAGCTGCCGACGCTGGGAGCTCCTTGGTAGATGGTGCAGACGACACCGAGGGAAGGCGGGACTTCGCTCGACTGGAGGATGAGGATGCTTTGTTCAACGTTCGCTTGCCTTTGTACCTCGACTGCAGCGCCCGCATCGACAAATGTAGCTCGGCGGCAATCTCGGCTGCCGTTTTGGAAGTCTGACTCTCTCCAAAACCTGGTCGCCCGATTGGCAATCGATGATGCTTGACCATATTGCTATTCGCGTTTGCAATACTTTTGATCCCGCGACTTTTGGAGAGTTGGGGGTCCTGCTCGGCTTGCACTTCTTGCGCTGCCCGTGCTATTGGCAGTTGAGGAACCACAGCGGAGGATGTCTGCGACGATATGGGGGGTTGGGTATCACGAAGAAATGAAGAGGGATCAGAGACTTATAAAGAAGAACGCCAGGAGCTGGTTAATGATAAGCGGCGGCCATGCCGTGCCTGGTACATGTCACACCAAGCTGAGGCCTGCTGCACTTCTCTACTGGTTGTGCTGGTCGCGGCCACAGCGCCACAGCTCGATGGCTTCGATCGTTCGATCGTTCTGTATACTGTGCGGATCAAGCTGAGCTTCTCAAAGCCTTGGCTCTGTTAGACATTGCGACGTGCGACTTGCGACATCCAACGATGGCATGTGTTGGAAGCGTGGGCGAGCGGCCCTTTTGGATCTTCCACTAGCCGCCAGGAGCAAGTGGGAGCAAGCAAGCAGCTCATCTAGTGACACAGTTTCAATAGCTCACATACATACATACGCCCATAATCTCTCTCGTTGGCGGGTCTCAAAGTGCTGAAACGCTTCGTCCCTGGTGTCGGTACACCAGCGCACCAGTAGTAGTGGGAAGTATTGGTGACTACATACGTAGCACAACAGAAAATTGTGCGAGTCTGGTGATGGCAATTGGGAAGCGATTGGCGAAGAGGAGCCCAAATGGCCACAAACTCCAAAGCTCACATCTGCACCCTGTGGTCTGCTGCTTCTTCCATTGTCTTTCATTCTAGACTGCTGGGCCCGAATATAAATGTCATGCAAAGTTGAGAACACCACGGGACCTTGTCGACCCTTCACGCTTGCGGAGCTAAGCGGGGTATGCTTATACATACAAGCACGGGCGAAGTGAGGATCGCTGGTTTTTGAACACAGATGTGGGGGAAAATAATTAATGCTTGCGCCCATGCATGGAGAGTTGAAGGTTAAGATCCCTCAATGCCTGATATTTTCCCTACCTACATACAGCACCAATCATTCGGCACTCCAAATCCAATTGAATGGGCGACAAAAGAAAACAATGGCGAGGCGCAACTAGCGCACCATCGAACGATGCGTGACTCCGCGACACAGGAGAACCCATGGAGGTAGGTAGGTCAGAGCCCTCAGCCGGTCTAGAGCAAAGTCGCAAGAGGAGCGGAACAGCACAATGACAAGTCCACAAGAGTCCAAAAAAGTTTGTCGCAAAGACGCCAAGCGCCGCCGCAGCATGCCGTGTTTTACATGTATTATGAGGGGCATCATGTATGAATTCGCTGTTTTTCGCAGGTCAGCAGTCAGTAGTATTTAGTCTCAAGTGGTGCATGCTGGTGTATAGAGCTGGGACAAGCTGGGACCATGTGGGCCTAACACAAAAGCACACTAGCGCCCAGCGGAACAACGCGTCGATCAAGGTCCGGCACGCGCTTCAGCGCCACAGGCGTCAAACATTGCATACATAAATGTACAAAATTACATATGCATGTCTTTAGACGTGCAGAGTACCCACTGTCGACCAGGTTGACACTCGTGTGCTCAACTCTCATGCTCATCACTCCTGTTCATTGCTCATCATTTTTTCCATCGCACGTCGCGGACCTTCTTTGGAGCACGTCTGGCTTCTTGTAGACGCACTGAGGCGTCAAGGAAATTTAGACAAGGGTTAACGGAGCTTCCAGATATGACTCGACCTCCTTTGGTGTGTTGATGCGTAACATGCGCTTCTTTTGTTTGAAATGCTTCAGGTCCCAGATCTTCTCGGATTGCAGATATTCAGAGCGCACGAGCTTGCAGTCTTGAACGCGCAAATAGTGAGCGACGACCTTGCTCTTGAGCTCCACCGCGCTATTGTAAGTCAAAGCCGCGGGCGGACCGTATGGTCAGAGTCAAAGAGCGTGCTGCGCGGCGGCCGTGTCATGCGCTGAGCGGAAATCGACCGCACCGGCGGCGATGTACCCCGATACATGGTCTACCAGGGTGATAAGGCTTTTCGCGGGCGCTGCGTCGGTAGGGCCAACGCGTACGTGGATCATGGACACGTTCGTCCACACCCGCCGGCTCGCGAATTCCCGTCGGTGCCCCCGACGGCCCCACGCTGCGGAAGGCTCGGCACTCTTTACAATGGCGCTTGAAGTCAGCCACTTTCGCCGCCAAAGATGGGAACCAGGAGATGCAACGGAGAGCGAAGACGAAGCACGGGACCCGTGCGTGCGCGGTGATCCCGTGCACGACGTGCAGGATGCCTTTGATCGCGGAATCAGATATGACCACCACCAGTAGAGCACCCGCGTCCTCCTGGTCCTCCGTCGCAACGGTCGCACCAAGGATACCTGTACTCCGTTTGTGGCACATAAAGGCCAAACGGATAGCCGGTGCCGTACCGGCAAAATAATAGTGATGCACCCCATCCAAAGAGCGAGGCGTCGGTGCGTACGACTAGCTGCTCGCAGGGTGGGTGGAAGTGAACCGAGTATGCCGCGGCGACAACCGGCCGGCTGCCTCCCATGTCGACGTAGGCATGCTTGCCGATGCTATAAGCACCTAAATGCTCCTCAGACTTGCATGAATGTAGTCACTATCCCTGCCTTCGTAGAGTGCCGCTGCATCTCTAGGGATTGGTTTACTGTGAATACCGATGGTCGCAACGTAATCTCTCATGCATACGCACATCGAGTGGGCTCACTTGAATCTCCTTTACAATACTCCATTGGCTCACTTGAAAATCGCAACCAAGGTTAGTGTGTGTGCCGTGGGTAAGCGGAATGAGCGAATTCTTGTTTTGGTTCGATGACCGCGCGCCGCCAAAATCCAACCGTTCAAGAAAGACCTCGCGCAGTGCCCGAACAGATTTGCACTCCTGGCATGGCCCTCGCATCGTAGCAGGAGAGCGAGGAGGAATTCAATTCCTATTGCCTTAGAGGAAAGAGACTCCTCCAAGACGCAATGAATGACCTGCATAATCATCGAGGCCTAACCGTCCAGCGGTAAGAATGGAGTGATAGTCAGGCGGCCGTCTTCGGGTTGTTTGCCTTGTCGGCACACACGAGTAAGCTCCCGCAACCAGGAGGCGATGAAGGGGCAGGATGTGCACGCGCCTTGTTCCTGTAGACCTTTTGACTTAGGGTTATGAGCGAAACACTCTCGGCTCCCGTCTTCCTGTCCTTCTTGCTTGCATATATGTCTCCATGGACTAACACCCTCTTCCCAAAGTTACAGCAATCAGCTTTAGGGCGGTCATTAGCGCGTATCGTTGGAAGATTATCTGTAACCACACTGCGGCGAGCTTGGGAATTGCGAGAGCTTCTGAATTCTGCATTGGCCAGCCTACCTTTGATCGTGTCAGCCTATACTCGACGTGCTGCAGTAACGCCTCGTCCCCGGCCTCCCCTGCGAAGAACTCTCTCGCCGTCATGTCCAACATCTTGATCTATGCCGGCCCCGGCACGTCGCAGTCCGCACTCTCACACACGATCAATACTCTGAGAGTCTTATTGCCGTCGTATGATGTGCAGACAATTCAAGCGAAGTCAATTGCACTGGATCCATGGTCGAGCAGCACCTCCCTGTTCGTGATCCCGGGGGGAAGGGACTTGCCCTACCTCGACGCTCTTACGCAACAATATCCCCTCCCCTCTGGTAGAAGTACAGTATCTGCTGTGGAGCGCATCAATGATTACGTCCGGCGAGACGGAGGATCTTTTCTTGGAATATGCGCCGGCGCGTACTTTGCCTCGTCATTCTGTGACTTCGAAGAGGGCACGCCACTCGAAGTCAGAGGCGAGCGGCCAGCACTGCGCTTCTTTCCTGGAACATGCAAGGGCACTGTATATCCAGGCTTTGTCTACGAGTCTGATGCCGGTTCACGTGTTGTTCAAGTGAAGCTGAATGCCAAGTTGGGAAGTGGATCATTGGCGGCTCACTATAACGGTGGAGGTGCTTTCATGCACGCTGAGCAGTACAAGCAACAAGGGATCGAAGTCCTCGCCCGTTACAGTAGCGATGACCCGACCATCGCTGGTGGGGAACAATCGATTTTCTCGGGACAGCCTGCTGTCATCCTTACAAAAGCAGACAAAGGTCAAGCCCTGCTCTTTGGCGTCCACCCCGAGTTCCCTATGGGCCCGCGCAGCAGATTCGTCAAGCAGATCGGGGATGTATCGACTCTGCCTGCTTCTTTTCAGGACTCTGAGTTACAAGAATCGCAACGCCTCCGAGCTTTAGGGGGTATTCTGAAGCTTTTGAGCTTGGAAGTCAGCATACCTGAAAGCCAGAACGAGTCGGCGGTGCGGCAGCATCTCGCCGGCCTTTCTCTTTCGACATCGTCGGCCAAGACCCCTTCGATCACGGACCCACCTCGGCTCACTCCGCTGATACTGATGGAAACAGAATCTGGCGCCGTTCATTCAGTATTGGAGTCTCTCCGTCAGCTCCCACGACCCCCAACTTCGAAAATTTCCAGTCCGCAGCTTTCCCAACTGACGCTCAGGGAAGGACCCCATGACCCGGACTTCGAGCGTGATGCCCTCCGGTCTGCTGAGCTGTTCGGCTTCAAAGACGTGAATGACACGTTCCATATCTTCTTACCAACGTCACAAAGCGCGACACAGCAGCAGACAGAGACCTCGCTCCAAGTACTATGCCGAGATGCCGACTATCAAGCATACCTGACTCCGTCCGATAGCAGGGGATCACCAAGCGGGGAAGAAATGACTGACCAAGTCGTAGAAGTCGACCTGAATGCGGTACCGAAGTACATCCTTGCGTATCCGTCTGGCGCGTACCCTTCATCCGGAAGATTGATGCCGTACTTTAATGCGCCTCAATTCATCAAGAGCTTGGCTGCTAGCCGGCAGCTGCTACGCGATGCGCCCATCATAGCTTCGAGCGGAATTGCTTGGCAGGCCCCCGTGACGATTGCTAGTGCATTCGTGTACGCGCAGGTGGTTACGAGCACACAGACGATGCTAGACAAGTGAGTTGGTCCGTACTGACCTAACCTGCATGCATCTTCTGACTTGAAATGTCTATTTCGACTTCTCGAAGAAACTACAAAGTCCTCAGCCGGCTTCCGACGGGGTTCACTGCCATTGCAACCCACCAGGTCTCCGGGCGAGGCCGAGGTGGAAATGCCTGGATTTCTCCTCTTGGTTGTTTGCAGTTCTCCTCGGTCTTACATCTTCCAAGTTCATTGGCAAGTGGTGTCGTTTTTGTCCAATACATCGCTGGATTAGCCATCGTTCTTGCCGTGCGTCACGCGCTGGGCAGAGCGTATGTCGAAGTGGGTCAAAAAATCAGGATAAAATGGCCAAACGATGTGTATGCCGAGGTCGGCGAGGACGCACCGGGGCAGGAGCAAAGGAAAGGCACATTCACGGTTGACGGCAAACGCTACGCCAAGCTTGCAGGTGTCCTCGTGAACAGTCAATTTGCAGGCAAAGATTTCGCGCTCGTTGTAGGCTGTGGGATCAATTGCCTCAACTCAAGACCAACGACGTCACTCTCGGATTTGATTAGTATCCATAACGCGACCCTTCCAACTGACAGGAGTGCCCTGCCACTCGTATCACAAGAGGCGCTGCTCGGCGCGATACTGGCAACCTTCGAGCAGCTATGGAATATCTTCATTAAGACGGGCACATTTGAGCCCTTCAAAGAGCTCTACCGCGACATATGGTTACACTCAGATCAGGAAGCGACGCTCATGGACACCGACCCGCCGACGCACGCGAGAATCGTCGGCATCAGCTCCGACTTCGGCATGCTCCGCGCCGTGCCTGTCGAGCACCAGATCACGAGTGCAGACTATGACGCGTGGAGCAAGTCAGCTACGACCACGTCGCCTTTTATAGATTTGCAGCCAGACGGCAATTCGTTTGACATGTTGCAAAATCTTATACGGCGAAAGGAATGAAAGAGCAAGTGGCTCATGCAGTTGGTTGGGCTATGCTACATTAACTTCTCCCGATTCCATCCTGTGGGCGTAATACCTGCACATCTCGAGCAAACCTTCTTTCAATGACCAGCGAGGCTCCCAGTTGAGCAATTGCTTTGCACGGGTCGTGTCTGGACGTCTTTGCTTGGGATCGTCCGTGGGCATCGGACAGTAGACCACCTTGACCCCATTGATCTCCTCGGCTTCGCCTTCGACATGCGGCGCGTCTGCAGCCGCCAATGACTCTGATAAGGAACCCATTTCCAACAGCCCATTAGGGGAAAGCTCGGATTTTACCTGCTGTACTGCAGCTGCGACCGCCTCGACAAGCTCTTTGATAGTGAACTCGTGACCATTTCCGATGTTCACAGGACCGTGCACGCCATGTAGAAGGTCGTCTCTACCCTTCTCGTCGGTCGGGTCCGAGCCTGCAATGTCATCCACCTCGACGTTCATGAGTGCTATGAGCGCATCAACAAGGTCATGAATGAACATGAAGCTTCGCGTCTGGCTGCCGTCGCCGTACACGGTAAGAGGCTCGCCCTTGAGACCTTGCAGGATGAAGTTCGAGACGACTCGCCCGTCGAACGGATGCATTCGTGGGCCGTAGGTGTTGAATATGCGCGCTACTCGAACGTCAACACCATCTTGGTAGAGGTAACCGTCTGTAGCAATCCAATCCCATCAGCCAACCTTCCTTCAAACACGGTACATTATCGCTCACATGTGAGAGTCTCTGCAACTGTAGACAGACAATGGGAGGCTTCAGTCTTGCACTGGAGATCGGAGGTGCAGTCTGCGGACTCACTTCTTTTGCCTTCATCGTAGCAGCCCCTGGGACCGGTCTGGTTGACATTACCATTGTAGTTTTCCGGTTGAGGGTGCACATCGGGGTCGCCGTATACCTCACTCGTGCTTGCCAGCAAAAACCGCGCCTTCGTGCGTTTAGCCAATCCGAGCATGTTCATGGTTCCCATAAAGTTGGTTTTGATCGTCTTAATCTGGTTGACCTGATAGGATTTTGGACTTGCCGGGCATGCGAGATGGTAGATCTGATCCACTTCGACAAGCAGTGGGTTCACTACATCGTGCCGGACCAACTCGAAACTTGGATGCCCGACCCAGTGCGACAAGGAAGATTTCGTGCCGGTGAAGAAGTTGTCCACGACCATGACTTCGTGACCCATGAGCATGAGGCGATCGACGAGATGACTACCAACAAAGCCAGCCCTGCGAGTCGTAGTCTGATCAGCATTCGTGAATGTCAAAGAGCCCTGCACCACTGAAAGGCGCTCACCCTCCCGTGACTAGCACGCGTTTCTTTTGCTCAAAGCTGAGGACTCTTGTTGGAAGAAATTGTGGCATCTGAGAAGGGCTGAAACTGACCACACGAGTCCTGGGTTTAGCACTGAAGCTCTGTCCCAAACTCGAAAGGCTTGCTGAGGAGCTCGAGTGTGGCACATCAGCACCTGAGGGGCTTAGCGCCTGAGACAGCTGATCGCTTGCAATGGTAGCGCCTACAGCATTAATGATGCCGCTTGCCTTGCATATCGATCCCCCGGGCGCCCATCGCCGTGAAGCCGTAGCATGTCTAGGCGTAGCTGCATGGCTTAGGGATGCCGACCGACGGATGCCACCTTGCTCGGAAGACGGCCCAACGAACGCAGAACTAGCGTTGCTCGCACCCGAATCGGTCCGCACTCTCCTGAATACGACGGTAGGGGGCGTGTTGGGAGTCGGGGCCGAGCTGCCTGGCGAGACTGCAGCGGCGTGAAGAATAGATTGCGCACTTGAGCTCGGAGGAAATGTCGGAGTACCGAGCGTGGTGGAGGACCCGCTTGACGGAATGGTGGACAGTCCATAAGACATGTACTCTGGCTTGAGGTACAGCTCGCGAAGGAGCCGCAGAGGGATGTCCCAATCGTTGAAGCTGAGGCCCTCTGGATCAGGGGAGCTGGAATCCCTCACTGGCGCACCAGGAGTTGGGGGGCAAAACGCTGGCTGGTCCACCATGATGCCTGCTTTTTCGTCGAGGGTGACAACACTAATCACGGCGTGTTGGCACGTTCAGGTCCTCCCTCGGACTGGTTAGCACGAAGGGCGGTCATGCTTGGAGCCTGACTGTATTCGAGACCTGCTCAACCGATTCTTCCAGAGGCCTCCTACCGTCGTCCAACGCAAAGCTGAAACTTGAAAGCGTGATCAGAACTTGGATTGTACTGGCCCTTAACAAGAGACTGTGTGCAGACTTGGCACTGCGCCAGTGTGGCCGACGTGTCTGAACGCGTCGAACCCAACCTCACTCTACAGCCTCTTTGGCATACTGCACTCAACTGATGAACATGGAAACATGATCTCTCCAAATGGTATGTGACCCTCCATTCGACGATCTGCGCCCAGAGCTGGCGGTACTCGCGTGCCGACGCTCACTTAGAAAATGAATCGTGGAGGGGCCAGGAGAGGCCATCTATCTAAGAAGATAGCAAATGTCAAGCTCCGCCCAGTCGCCCCAGCAGCCCGCAACATTGACGGCGTCGACGATGCGGCAGAGTCGTCACACACAGCAGCCCGACGGGGACGAGAAGAACGGGAGGATGCGCTGATGCGAAAGTCCGTGCTCGAGGGCGGCGAGGGCGAAGACGAAGATAATGGGGCTCAGGGTAATGCTCGAATGGACGCGCAAGATCAAGAGCATGCGCTGCCTCTTGCAGGCCTTGTCATTTGCCTGACTGGCATCGATCAGCACCGCGACAGGGTCGCGTCTCACATCCAAAGTCTCGGTGCAAGGCACGAGAAGGACTTGACAGAAGATGTAACGCACCTCATTGCCAACAAGCCTGGAAGCCAAAAGTACCGTTGCGCCGTCCGACTTGGCATGAAGGTCGTCACGACCGCCTGGCTGGGCGCGATCATGGAGTGCTGGCTCGAGGCGAACACTGCGGACCTCGAAAAGATATCCAGGTTGCATTCCATGAAACCTCTTGAGGGACTCAAGATTGCCATGACAGGCTTTGCGGAGGGTGAGCGGCGCGAGTCTCCTTTTGCGAGCCATGTTCTTGTTGCTGAAGTTTTGCAACGCCAGGTCCATCCTCTTTCGAGCTGTCGCGTCGAGTCCAGGCACTAGGAGCAGACTTCTGCCCTTCCTTTTCGATGGAAGCGGGCGTTACGCACGTACTCAGCGGTACCGACGACATACGCAAGTCTAAGACGCTCGAGTTTCTAAGCGCAAGACGCGATCGCCTCAGAAAGAACTGGCAAGGCAAGCAGTCTCAAATGGACAGCACGCCTTGGGTCGTGCGGGCTGCGTGGGTGGAAGACTCTGCAGAGGCCGGCGTATGCATGGAGGAGGAGGATTATGAAGTTTGGATCAATGCGCCGCCGATGAACAAGAAAGAGGCGTTGATCGAGGAGCTACGCAAACAGCAAGCCAAAATGGACAAGACCATCGAAGGCAGGATGAGAGCAGCAAGGGAAGCCTTGCGCAAGCGAAAGTTTGCCGGGGATGGTGCGCTCCTCGTCGATAACAAAAAGCGATTAAAGCGAGGCGGCAGCATGGGTCTCGACGATGCTGCTGAAGCGCCCAATCGACTTAAAAGCGTCGTCGATCAGATCACAGAGGCGTCCAAGCTGGCAGTCGCAGAGACTACCCTGAACAAGAAATCCAAGTGGGGAAACACTGAATCGAGTAGTGGCAGCGGGCTGCAAGCCAAAGCGAACAATCCTTCCCCGGGAAGTGCGAATCCGGCTTTCGCACCAAATTCTTTAAAAGGTCCGGGCTCAGTTCCACCCGAGTCACGACAGCCCCTCTCTGCATCGCAAGAGACAAGCTTGGGACAACATGCTTTGGACAAAGGTGCTTGCTTGCCGCCCGATCAGCCCCAAGGCGAAGCGTCTGCGAGCGCAACAGATGCGGACACAGGAAAGGGCAAGAAGATAGAAGGGTCTCAATCCGTGCAGCCATCTCAGCCAATTCAATACCTGGCTGGTGTTTCGGCACGCTTCGATATGGACTCTCCTGACCCCCACAAGGTGTCACGCATGAAGGAAGCGATGAAGGTTGCAGGGGCAACAGTAATGGAAGATGCGGAAACCTCTGTCCAGTACACCATTGTGCCCCTCGTCTACTCAGCGGCACCGCAGCCGCATCAGGGCCAATTAGTCACTGTCCTGTGGCTGGAGCAGTGCAACTTCTCCCGGCGGATCGCAGATCCAGGTGAATTTGTCGGACTCCGGCCAACGAAGGTACCTCTACCTCTACCTCTGCTGACTTCAAGTGCCGTACAAGTCCACTACACCGGCTTTCCCGTCAACGGCCCCTCACGACTCTTCATCAGCACGATACTCCAGGAAATGGGCGTGTACGAGTCTTCATCATTCAACAAAAAGGACACGCACCTGCTCATCGCAGATGATACACCGGATGATAATGCCAAGGTGATAAAAGCCAAGAAATTCGGCACAGAGATTGTCAAGCTTGATTTTCTCGAACGGTGTTTCCAAGAAGGCATTATTGATCCGCCTCCACGTCCGCGCAGCAGCCGCTCGCAGTGTTCCGTGTCGCCAGCCCCACCCACGGCACTGCCGAAGGGCAAACACCCGGCGTTTGCTAGCACAATGGCGCAATTTACCAGCTTCAGTACTCAGACATCTTCCTCTGAGGCCAGCTTCGGCACCACTACCGCATCCAAATTGGGTGTGAAGGATCGTACTGTCGCTAGGCGGGCAGCGGCGACATCTGCGTTGGCAGAGCAAATGAAAGCTGCGCTCGACAGGAGCGCCTCGTCGGCCGGCGTGGCGCAAGGCGGGAGGCGACGTCCACGACCTCGCAGTGCGCGACCGCAAGGTAGCGACCGCGCGAGGCAACGCTCTTTGTCTGTGCTTGACATCGATAGCGATGTACCGATCGTTGAGCACGAGCCTGTGGCAGTAGGGATGAATGAGGATCGACGAGGGGCGGAGGACAGGGATAGTGACGGAGAAGATGCACCACCACCTCTGCCTCAGCAGACGCAGGTGCTGGTTTCGTACGACAATCCGAGGGCGCGGCGTGAGCAGCGGAAGCTGATGGCTTTGATGAGTGGGACGCCACGTGAGGCCGCATCCACCGAGTCACGGTCCACAGCAACTGCGCTTCAAGCACCAGCCGCGCCGCATGGCCAAGACACGGGCTCGACGACGGGAGCCAAGAGCGGTGAAGCTCCTGAGAAGGTTGTGGCAGCGCCACCGCCTAGAGACACGCGTCGAACGCGATCGGCACACGACACCAAGCCAATTAGGGCTCGGAACCAGCTAGGCATATCGAGGAAAGGATAAATTGGATGTTGTATGTATTTGCATTTATACATATCGATTTCAGTACCTTCGCCCTCTTTTGGGTTTCGTAAAGTCTCTTAGAAATGGCCGTCCAAGGCAGTCCGGCCGCCCATGAGCTCGGTCAGCTGCTTGAGCGGGTGCCACCAGGCCGTCTTGCCCCTGCGATTCTTCATATCCGCCGCATCTGCCATCTCCTGTGCGGTGGTGAAAGCAAGTGCACTGCCCCGGACGGTGATGATCACCGCCGTGTCGCCGCTCCAGGCGCCTTTACCCGCAGCGCTGCGGTGCGCGTTAGCGTGCTCCTCAAGGAACTGGCAGCAGCGCATCGCAAGACGTGTTGCACGGCAGCGGTCCATGGGCGAAGGCGTGCCACCTTGCAGCGTGTGCCCCAGCGAGGCTGAGCGCGAGTCGAACATGGAGTTCCCCTCCTCCTTCAGGATCTTGGTAATGACCTCGGTCGTATAGACATCGGAAGCTTTCTCGTTCCTGTGCAGCGTCCAAAATGCAAGCGAAGGGTCAGCACCTTTGTCTCGTTCGACACATGCAGAGAGCAGAATGCGAGACGACCCACCTAATGACAAGCCTCCCTTCGCTCTTGCCCTTGACGTCAAGTGCAAAACGCCTCCGCAGCCACTCGACGTCGGAGCCGAGCTGGGTAAGGCTGATGCCTTCTTCTGGCGTGTAGACGAGCACGGCACCCGCGGCGAGTGCGCCCATTGCAGCGATGTAGCCGCACTTGCCGCCCTGCGTCTCGACGACAAAGACGCGGTTGCGTGACGCAGAGGCGCTCTGCTTGACCGCGTCGCACGCGTCGACCAGCGCATTCAAAGACGTGTCGGATCCAAGAGAGAATTCATTCAGCGGGACGTTGTTCGAAATCGTCGCTGGGATGGCGGTAATCGGGATCTATTTTAGGGATGAAAAGGTGTACAGGTCTCTTGGGTCAGCCTGAAGACAGGGGCAGATCCGTTCAGCCAGCCGCACTTACCCTGAAGGCTGGGTACGACTCCCTCTTCTCATCCATGATCTTGACCGCCATGAACGCCTCAAAGCCGCCGATGAGCAGAAGCCCCTCGATGCGATGATGCTGCAGCTTGCTCGCGACGGCGCCTACATCGACGTCCGGTAGGACACGGTTGGTGCCAAGGTCGCTGCCGCCGCGCGTGGTCCAGTTGTCGACGCGGAGCCAGTTGAGTTCTGAGACGTTGTCCGCGAGCAGGCCAGTGAAGCCGTTGTAGATAACGAGAGGCGTGTGGCCGCGCGCGATGCAGAAGCGCACGGCAGTTCGCGTGGCGGCGTTCATGCCGCCTGCGGGCGCGCCGACGCTGCGTTGGACGGTGAGACAAGGATGTTGCGTGAGCACTGACGGACGGAGCCAGCCAGCAGTAAGGGAAAAAAGGCAGAGGCAGAACACTCACTGCATAATGCCTATCCGCACACGCTTGTCCAGTGGGAGCTTCTGTGACTCGTCGACCTTGCTGATGAGATGCCACGCGCGGAGGTCCTCCTCGAAGCCTGCGTCGCGCAACTTGAGCGCCTTTGCAAAGTCCCGTTGCTCGATGGCCGCGGCGACCTGCTGCGTCTGCTGGATGGCATGCATGAGGCTGATGCGTGTGATCTTGTTCTCCTGTATGCCGATGACGTACGACGGCGTCGCGTGCGTCGCCTCAAGCAGCGCATTGACTGCCTCGACGCCTTGCAGCGTCGCGAGCACGCGGTCGTTCGCGTCAGGCTTGCCGCCGCGCTGCGTGTGCCCGAGCGTGGTGACGCGCGTGTCGAGGCCGAGCTTGTCGCTGAGCACAGTCTTGATCGCGTCTGCGCGAATTGGGTTGAGGTGCTTGTCGTGCGCGCCCTCGGCAACGATAACGATCGTCTTGCGCTTGCCGAGCTCGCGATGCTTTTGCAGAACGGTGCACATGTCGCGTGACCAGTCGTCTTCGTTGCCGCTGTCTTCCCCGGCGCCATTGGAGCTGGCCTCACTGCTGCAAAGCGGAGGCTGCTCAGGGATGAAGATGTAGTCGGCGCCTGTAGCGATACCGGCCTGCAGCGCGAGCCATCCACAGTGCCTGCCCATGACCTCGACGACGAAGGCGCGGCTGTGCGACGCGGCGGTGGACGAGATGCTGTCGACTGCCTCACACACGCGCGCGAGCGCCGTTGACGCGCCAATGGTCAGGTCTGTTGTGCTGAGGTCGTTGTCGATTGACCCGACGAGGCCGACGATGCGCAGGTGCTGATAGCGCGCAAACTCCGCCTGCGTGATGCGCCCTTCGCTCAGCAGCGCGGCCATATGTTCAGGCCACTCGGCGCGCAGGAGGTCGGCGCCCGTCAGGCTGCCATCACCGCCGCAAACGGCGAGTGCGTCGATGCCATGAGAGATGAGGTTGTATGCGGCCGTTCGCCGCCCTTCAATCTCGCGAAAGGCAGCGCAGCGAGCCGTGCCGATGAGAGTGCCTCCCTGCAGGATCAGGCGAGCATGTCAAGCAGGTTAGGACACAGTTCGCAGTGAGGGGATGATGGACATGCGCAAGCTGCCACTCACCTGATTCATCCATCCGCGCACATCGTCCCATCCGACCTTGATGATGTATTTCCCTTTGAGCCCGAGCTCTTCGGCTTCGCCCACGCCCTCTCTCAACAACTCTCCATCGCCGTACGTTGGGATGAAAGCAGTGCTTGTGCCAGCCGACGCAGCATCAGCCGGGCGGATCGCCGGACTGGGCGGCTCGCTGGCGGCCGCGTTGCCACGCACGAGGCCCTCCCATCCCTCGCGGACGACGTACGCCTCGCAGCCCTTGTAGATGGCCATCTTGACCACCGCTCGCACCGCTGCGTTCATCCCCGCAGAGTCTCCACCGGAGGTCATGACGGCGATGCGTGTCTTGGGGTTTGAGCCAGAGGCAGAGGCTGCCGCAGCCGCGGCATACGTGCTGCTGGTGCCACCATACTGCTGGCCCGCTCCGGAACGCGCGATGTGGACCGAGGACGATGACATGACGCAGTGAGGTCTCGGTCACTGCTGCTGCTGCTTAGAATTTCTTCCAGGGGTAAGGCGTTGCACGCAGGGAGGAGATCGACACCACGAGCACGGCCAGCGGCTTTTGTCGTCGCAAGCATTGCCAACAAGATGGAGATAACCCACATAAATACTCATGTGCTGCTTGCTGCCCCACGCCCAACAGGAATTTTGGGGAGGAGATTCCGATCAGCAGCATAGAGAGGGCGGAACAGCAAAAAAACACGCAGAAGCGCGTGCTGAGTACTTCGTATGGCCTCCGCGCACCCTACCACATACCGAACCTGCACCGAGACTGGCTATGCACACTTGGCTTTCGCTTTCATACGTGTTTGTCAAGAGAGCTGTCGCATTACAAGATACATCCAACAAAGTACGCAGAACATGGTATGCAGGTTCAGGTTCAGCAGGTCTGCCAGCCAGCGGCCATCAAGCGAGCGCGCCCATGGGGTCGTAGCACGGCAGGACGATGGAGCGATCGTCGACACCGTTCTCGAACAGCGTCCACAGGTCTTTGGGCACAAACTCCTTGCGGATGACGACCTGGTACACAAACTGGCAGAACCACTCGGCGCTCATGACCATGTACCCCTCCTTACCTGCGGTGCTGCCCCACGAGTTCTGCACGGCAAAGCGCAGGGGTGCGCCGGTCTTGGCGTCGAGGTGGACCGCGTCGATGACCATTGCGTGTGTCATCTGGCTCTCGCCCATCTGCAGGCGCTCCTTCTTGGTCAGGCCGAGCGTGATGCCGAATGCGTGCTCGTAGTCGTATAGCTTCGTGTCCATGATCCCGCTCGGCGTGTGGCTGAACTGGCCCACATCACAGCCGAAGAACACCGCGTGGCCCGCCTTGACGCTCTCCACGACCTTGCGCATCATCAGCTCCGGGTCCGTGTTAACGTACCGCACTGGCTCAGCGCCCCAGATGTTGCCAAGGCGCGAGACGGTAATCAGCTTGTTCGGCTCGTTGCGCGGGTCGTGCACGAGCGAGCAGGACCCCTTCGCGGTGAACGTGCCTGTGTACTTGACCTGGAAGTCGTACGGCGTCGTGCGCAGGCTTTGGTAGCGCCCTTTCGAGTCGTACCAGCTGAACTCAAACTCTTCGTGTGGCCGCGGTGGCTTGCCGTACGCGATGGCCAGCATGCGGTACACGTCTTTCATCTGCTTTTGCTTGTGCGCACGCAGCGTGCCGAGCACGGCCGCGTCGCGCTGCGCGGGCGTCAAGCGCCCCGATGCCACCGACGCGGCGAGGCGCTCCTCGGAGACGGCCTTGAGGTCGCGCAGTTCCTGCGCCATCTCGCGCACCTTAACAGTGACGAGCCAGTTGATGCGCGACGTGTTGGACGAGTTGAAAGACTCGGGGAACACTGACTGCGGCACGACGCCGTACTTTACAATTAGCGACGTCACCATGTCCCACTGCCCGCCGTCCGAGTAGAACGAGGACGAGAGGAACGAGAGCTCCCGGTCGTCCCACGCGCGGTCGGCGAGCTCGATGACGTTCTCGAGGAAGAAGTTTGCCTTCTCGAGCTTGTCGCAAAAGTGCAGGTACGACTGGCTCAGCTCAAAGTCGGCGTCCTTGATATCCAGCTGCTTGATCACCTCGAGCCGGATCAGGTTTGTCAGTGCAAACAGCCAGCACCGCCCGGAGGATTTTTGGTTGGTGACTGCCTTGGCGTGCAGAGGCACGCTGTGCGTAAAGACGTGTTGGTTAGTAATCTCGGCATCGCGCACGTGCAGCGAGTCGGCAATGTTGGCGTTGTGCAGCGTCATGGCCGCCAAGCGCGAGGTTGGTGCCTGCAGGATAGGGTCGAAAGAAAAGGTCCGAGTCAGCCTCCATCGAGATCGCTGATGCGTTCTAGGTCGACACCACCCACCGCAAATGCATCTTGGTGCCACTCATCAAGCCTATCGAGCGCGATCTCGGCGGTTCCCTCGCCGGGGGCGTCTGCGTCGAGCTGGTCATGTTGCGTCCAGCGGGAGGCGCGATGCTGTTGCTCTGCCTGTATGCGCGCCGTGCGGTCAGCCGACACGTGGTGGACGTACGCGGCATTTGATTTCTCGACCGGTGTCGTCGGGGACGCGGGCTTGGAGGGGGCGCTGCCCATGGTTGCTGATGAGAGAATGGGATCTGCGGGTGTAATGGCTGACCTCGAGAGTCAAAGGGCGGGGTACGCTTGCTGATGCTGTGTGACCAGGGGGTGGGGGCTCGACGTAGATGGGATGAGGGCTTTGTTATGTGGTGGAAAAGGGGGGGGCGAGGATGGTCGAGGATGGTCGAGGATGATAAGGACGCGTGACTCGTAGGCTGGTTCACGTTGTGTTGACTCTTGCTGGCTGGCTGCCTCCTCCCCCCCTCCCCGCGCTAGACTCATCAAGTGCCTGGCTGGCTGGCCCGCGTGGCACCTTGGTGGGTCGTGTGATCACCAGGCGGCAGGGCTCTCCGCTCTCGACCCAGTCGGTGATCAGCTTCGGTCGACATCGGCCGCACATTGAACTAGGCCTTCGGCCGAGAACCGCTTCTTTCCGTCTCCACGCCAAGAGAGTGAAGTGACTGAGAGTTTGGGTTATCCTTCTTTCCGGTACCACGCAGCCCTAGTTTAGGGGGGGATTTGGTAGGCCCGTAACTTTGTGCCTTGGCACGGAAAAGGCTGCTGAAACACCCACCCACCCTTATGGCTTCCAGCGTCAAGGGCGGCGGCATCCTCCGTCCACTGGTAGTAAGTAAGTAGGAAGGCAGCTGCTCGCTAGCTGACTGATCTTGTGTGTCCGTCCGTGGTCGGGTAGTCATTGGTGGGCAGGGAGGTCCGCCCGCCAGCGCCAGGCTGGCTGTGCGCTCCTCTTGCACACCCAATCAAAGGCAGGCAGGCTGGAGGGCCACTTGAAGAAGCCCCCAGGATCTCGTCGCACCAGCAGGGGAAACGCACATCGCACGTTTTGATTCATCCTCCCCTGCGGTTGGCATGCTAAAGGAAGCCAGGCAACCGAAGCGGCCTCCTGCCATCAGATCGGATGGATCTCACGCAGAAAGCGACCGTCCTCACGGCCTGGCCGTTTTTCACCATCCATAAATCAAGCATTCAACCACGTTCGGGCACCTCGTAGAGACTATACATGTCAGATTGTCACGTCAATCTTCTTTGAAAACAAGCAACCTTGGCTCCTTCCCCTGCTCTTCTTGGCGATGCGCTGCGCCTCGCCCGCTCCGGATCCATCGCTCCGCCAGCCTACGCCCCGCGGCCGTCGGCTGGCTGAACGCGACGGCCTGCGCACGCGCACCGCCGTGCAGCTCGAGCACTGCGTGCGCGTCCAACCCATAGCAGCTCTTCCCCAGCGCCGCATCCAGCAACAGCGCGCCGATGCCCAGGCGACGTAGCGAGCGCATCACCCAGATCCGGTGGATCCCGATCGACGGAGACAACGTCGCGCGTGGCTTGCCATCGGAAACGGAGGTTGCTGTTGCTGCTGCTGAGGGCGTGTCGCCATCGCCGTTGTCTCCATCGTAGAAGACCGCGTCGTCGCTCTCGTCTCCTACATCTGCTCCTGCTGTTGCGGCACGATCCTGGCGCAGGGGAAGCACCTCCCGCGCCGCGCCGGGCTTGACACGCCCCACGAGACACGCGCCAACCGCGCGGCCCCTGCACCGGGCGATGAACAGCTTGCACGAGCGTAGCATCTCCAAGGGCAGCGCTACCGCGCCGAGCGCTTCGTCCACCGTGCTCAGCACCTCGTGCATCTTGGTGTTCCTCTGTGCACCGCCCGCGCCGTTGCTAGACTTGTTGGTAGCTGACGTGGAGATGACGGTGTTGGGTATGGTGGTGGTACTACTCTTACGGCTGTCCGCCCGAGACGCGCTCGGAGGTGAAAACGACGCGAGACTGTACATCAAGACGACAACCTCATCATCACTGTCGAATGGAGAGCTCGCCGTACTACCGCTGACGGGTTTGAGTGCCTGCAGCCTCTTGCGGCCCTCCTGATCCTTGATTGTCAGCGTGAGAACATTGTCATCTGCCTCTTCTGCTCCGGACAATGCTTTGCCAGTCCAGACAATGCCATCAACGACGCGCGCGTGGTGCCAGCTGTGCATTTTGGCGTCCTCTGGCGACGAACTGTCGTACGACATGTTGCACTGCCCGCACGTCACCGAGCGCCTCTGTCCAAAGTCGAGGACCATCTGTTGCTTTTGCTGGGCAGGCGTCGGCACCGACACCGTTGGTTCCGAGGTCGCTGCTTCTGCTGGAGGGGACTCTGCGTGTGGCCTAAATTCCAGTTCTGTTGCAGCATCGTTCTGCACTTCCTGTAGCTTGGCCCGGGGCTCAGCAGGCGGAATGGAGCTCGCTGGAGAGCTTTCGCGTTGGTCTGTTTCCTCGTCCCGCGCCAGCAGGCTGTCCTTCTCGCTGGCAGGCTGGGAAGAGGAAGGGAGTGGCGCTGCAAATCATGTAAGGGAGGCAGGCAAATGTAAGCGAAGGGTCACCAGTGCATTCAAAAGCGAAGCCGTGGCATGCATTACGTACATGCTTCTCCCTTGCCTTCGTCTACGTCCAATCTGGCTTTGTCATTACGCTGCAAGTTAGACACTTGCCCCCTCACGATATCAAGTTGCGCAGCAATGATAGCAGCACCATCACCGCCTCCCTCCTTCTCATCGCCCTCTCCCGCTACAGTTACGGCAACTTCCAGCAAAAACTCAAAGTCTGCAAGCGTGGCGACCGAAATGCGCGACTGCATGCGCTTCGCCTGCTTGGCCTTGCTATCCTGAGCGAACTCGAGCGCCACTGCTTGTGCACGATCGCAGATCTCGCGCGGGATGCCAGCGAGCGCGGCGACTTGTGTCCCATAAGATGACTCAGCGATGCCAGGCACGAGCTTGTAAGTGAAGATGACATCTTGTAGCTGATCGTCCACCTGCACTTGCATATGCCGGTTTGCAACGCGCAGATAAGAATCAAATTCCAAGGCGAGCGAGGTGTAGTGCGTGAGGAAAAAGCCGATGCAGCGTGTGCGGCTGATGAGATGATGCAGGACCGCGTACGCAATCGCATGGCCGTCGAACGTGGATGTCCCGCGTCCGAGCTCATCCATAATGACCAGCGAGCGGGGAGTCGATTCCTTCAAAATCCTCGACGCCTCGAGCATCTCGACCATAAATGTGCTGTTGTTCCGGAAGATCTGGTCGTTGGCGCCCATGCGTGATGCGATGCGATCCACTGGGGAAATGGTTGCGCTCTGCGCAGGGACCATGCAACCGATCTGAGCGATGATGACCGCAGTGGCCGCTGTTCGCGCTGTCGTACTTTTACCCGCCATGTTGCCCCCCGTCAAGATCATGATCTCTTCGCTCTTCTCCACACCCAGTGCAATATCATTTGGAATGAACTCTGTTGTGCTCAGCGTCCCTGCGATGCACGGGTGCCGAAGCTCTTGGAATTCTATCGAGGCCGAGGACGACTCGACGAACGTCGGCCTACACACAGGCTCGCCCATGCTCCTGGATGCTTCCGAGAGACTAATCAAGCAATCGAGCTCGGCCACTGCTTTGACAGCCTTCAGGAAGACTGGCGCGTGTGTGCAAAAGGCTTGGAAGAGAATCAAGCTGAAGCACCGCAAGGCCGCAAGACGCGTTTCGCGAGCCTCTTTCAGTTCCTGGACCAGCTTGCGGACTGCAGGAGAGTAGTGGCGATGGACGTCCTTTGTTTGGCTAACCAGGATCCAGTTGGCCGGTACCTTGGTCGCGCGGGGCACTTCAATCTGATAGATATCCTTCGTTCCCATGTGCTTGAATTGGATCTTATTCTTGTTCAGGTTGAGATTCTTGGTAATTTCCGTCAGCTCTTCGTTGAGCTGATCCTCAATCTTGTTGAGTGCCTTTTCCGCCTTGTCGAATTCAGCGTGCACGCCTGACGCAGGAACGAAAGACTGATCGTCGCCATTGATTTCGAACTTGCTCTGCACCTCCTGCACGAGCGACTTGATTGAAGGGATGGATTTGAACAGGCTGCTTACGGCCCCCGTCCGATGATTGTCAGCCTTAGCCTTCAAGCCTCTCATACCCTTGTCGAAAAGCTTGAGAGCACTTAGAACGGCCAGGAACTCCCTGGGCTTGCATTTTCCAGCATATATGCGGGGGATGATGCGTTCGATGTCGGGCAGTTTGGAAGCAAAGTCGCTGAACGCGCTCCTGAACTCATCGTCTTGCGAGATGTCCTCAACGGCGTCAAGACGCGCGTTGATGGCATCGATCTTGGTAAGAGGCGAAACGAGCCAAATTTTAAAGAGACGCTTGCCAAAAGGAGTCTGGCAGCGATTGAGAAGCCTGAACAGAGTGCCCTCCTCGTTCCCCTGCTCATTGCTCAAGACATTGAGATGGGCCAGGCTCTGTGCGTCAAGCGCTAGACACTCGTTCTTCTTGATGGTGTCATAAATGTCAAAGTTGCGGCTGCTGCACAAGTCCTTGTCCAACTGCAGCGTTCCGAGGTAGTAAAGCATGGCACCGAGCGCAGCCATCGCCTCTCCGTAGGTGGCCATGGAAGAAATCGCCTCTGGAACTTGTGAAGGATCTTCAAATAGCTCGTCTACCCTTTGTTGCGCGGCTTCGGCCGTGAGGAATTCGACGGCGGGCTTAAGCATGGTGATCTTGCAAGACTGCGTGACGCAATTGCGAATCATGCGAAGGGTTGCCTGCGACATGCATCCTTTCTCGTAGAGAAGTTCTTTAATCCTGAGTGACCGCAATAGCGTCTCGAGCTTGCCGCGAGTGGCATCATCGATAAAGTGCGCTAGCCGAAATTCGGCTGTGGCTGCATCCAATGTGCATATGCCAATCGTCGGGGTATCCGCACCCGCATCGTAGTCCGCGATTTGTTCCTTGATCGATATGCAGTAGGTGTTCATATCGTCTTGGAGTGCAGACGGCTCGACGATAGTGCCGCTGGTGAGTACGTGACGAAGCTCGCGATTGACAATGCCAGAGTCACCGCCCTTGTTCTTCTTGCCGGTGCGCATGCCTTTGGCGACGGCCGTCTCAGCTTGATCGACTCGCCCTACCTTGTAGCCTAGCGCGAGGAATTTGGCGGCAAAGAGTTCGAAGGATGATTCGGGCACACCGACCATCTTCATCTTAACCCGATCCGTGAGCTTGAGGTCGAACTCGCGATGTCCAATCAGAGCATCGTCCTCGTAGAGCTCGTAGAATTTACCCTTTTGGAAGAAAAGGACGGTATCGAAATGATTTTGTTTAATCTTCCAGAATTGCACTTCGAACGGAGAGAAAGAATTCCAAGCCGAGTTGGGAATGTACAGCGTGCGAGGATCATAGTCAGGATCTCCAGGGCGGTTCTTGTCTTTGTCACGAGGATCAAGGAGGAAGCTGAAAGGCTGTTCGGAAGACTTCTTCTCTGCTTTTGCTTCTTCAGCTCTTCTTTCTGCGTTTGTAAAGAAGGAGCTGCTCGATCCGGATTGAGTTACTGTACGGGCAACTGGCCTGGGTGAGGCTACGTCCTCCTTGACACTTGTAGTCGCCGCCTTGGTCTTGACTTTGGGCTTCTTTGCGGGCGAGTCTGGCGCATCGGACGCTGATCCTGCATCTTCGTCACTGTCGGCAACCGAGATGGGGCCATCCTCGTCTGATGAAGCGTCTCGCATCTCGTAGTCTTCATCATCATCGCTTGATCGTCCGTTCTTCTTACGACGCTTGGTGGCAAGTTCTGCTACCTTACTCTTCCCTTTGGCTTTGGGTAGTGGCTTGAAATTGTCTGACGCATCACTGTCTGTTCCCGACTCTCCAGATTCTGCATAATTCATGGGCCTCTTACGCGTGCGACGCTAGAGTAAAGCGTGTGACAATGCTGAGTGCATGAATGCTACTCAACACGTGTATTCTTATACTCACAGATCCAGTTGCGACCCTTTCGTCTTCATCGTCTTCATCATCTTCATCTCCGAGGCTAGTACAAGCGCTCTCAATAGACCTTTCGGGTGCTGGAGGCTGGAATGTTTGACGCGCTTGCTTGGCTGCCGAGGACGCGACGGGACTTGTGCTATCGCGATTGGGCTCGGTCGGGGAGGTGGGCTTTGAAAAGCTGGAGGCATGACTACCATCTACAACTTCCTTTCTTTTGCGCTTGGCGAGAGGGGATGAGGGCGGAGGAGATGGAGGCGCGTTCTTGGTCTTGTTGAGCCGCGGGGACGAACGTGTAGGTCGGTTTGTAATTGAAGGAGGCGTATCAGGGATGGAGTTCTCAGACGGAGGAAGTTTACCTGAAGCTGAAGTCACTTTCGATGCACTGCTGCTCTTGGGAGGCTTAACTGCCCCTTCCTTGCTCGCTAATGTTTGCTTGTTGGTTTGTCGTGCGGGCGTGGTGGCAGCGGCGGCGGCGGAGCGTTGAGCAGGCTGCGTCTGAGGTGCAGGCCCGCTGTTTTTGGCAAAGAAGCCCAGGAGGGTGCTTTGCTTCCCCATGGTTCACGAGCCTACACTTCTTTTTCCGGTTGTCAAATTCTGCTTGAGCGTATGCTGTGTTTGCAATATGATGGGCATCTGACAAGAAAGCAAGGCAGGATCGATGCGTTGATATAGTCGAGTGTGATCTGAATGACAGACACCTGGTTGAGACTTGCCTCGTCCTGTTAGAGAATGCGCGACGCGTTTTCCTCCCTCCCCCCTGGCCTCAGCAGTCAGCTCGTGAATAGCCAGGGAGACGCGCGAGTCGCGACGCGCTCGGCGCTTTCTCGTGATGCGAGGCATTCGGAGGCAGCTTTTAGGGTTACGCGTTCCACTGGCCGCTGGGCAACTCTTTTTCTGTCACCATGCACCACTTCTCGTACATACAGGCATGACGCGTACCAGCTCTCTGACTCTTTACCCGCATTCAAGTACGCAACCTTTAAATGAGACCAGCAATCTGAAACGAGGCAGCCTTGAGTCGCTTTTCAGCAGCCAAACGTCGAGGCGGCCATGTCAGCGACATCATTCATGATGACGATCAAAGACAAAAGAGTCTCCGCGCCACAGCCGCGCGTTGGGAGGATATCCATCCAAAGTCCTCTGCTTGCGCTGCCGCAGGCTGTTCCTACGATCGTTGATAATGAGGATTCTGCGCACACGCTCGCTTCATACACCAAGTTCAAGAAAGAGGCGGTCGTCTTGTCTTCGTCTGAGTCCATGGAACCCACAGAGACCGTTCTACGTATCCGGGCTTCTTCAGACAACTTGCAATCGCTGCTGGCTGCATCTGATGTAGACGTCGCCTCGGTTAAAGATGCGCTCCTTCAGATGGAGCATCTGGTCTTGCGTGCGCCGAAGATGATAGTCAAAGAGAGCAAGAAACTTAGAGACATCGACCACATTGCTCTGCTTACCGCAGGCGAGTGCCGTGTTCCGAAGCAGTCCCCAGCGGCAGGTCATGAACCTTGCCATCATCTCTGTTACTAGGACAAGCGCTTTGGAATGCCTCGCTTTCTTTACCTATGACAATTCAAGAACTCCGAGCGCTTGGCACCGCAAGTGCGCTTGGACCGGCCACAAAACAAAGCCCCACACTGACTGATGCTCTTGCAGCTCAGGAAAATGCAGCTCGGATTTTGACTATTTATCTTTCGTTCTCAGATGGTTCAGGTCAAGATGATGCCTGCAAATTGGATTTGTTAGACTCGATTCTAGGGAGCCACGTTTTTCTTGTAGCGCGGCTTCTTGGTGATGAAGAACGAGGGAACTCACCTCTTCCTTTAACAGCTCGACTGACATATCTCCTTGCTGTGCCTCTTAAGATTTGGGGTGCATACACTCAGCTCAAAGCTTCATCGCAAGCGCCATCAGCATCGAAAGGCGGCTCACATTGCAGCACGGTGCCGCGAATATCCAGAACCTGCGCGTGGAGCTTCACATCGTTCAGTTTGACAGTGTACGCGCGTGTTGAAATTCGGCTTGCTGCATATCTAAGCTGATTATAGTCCATCTTTCCAGTACTGCTCAAGGTGTCTCATGCACAGTGCAGCACGTGCACTGGAGCTCGCACTGGAGCTCGTAGAGCCTTCCACGTGTACCCAATTCCTTGCTATTGTCTTGGCACATCGCGCTGCTCAGCTTGGGCAGCTTTATCTTTCGCAGGGTGTTGATCAAGAGTGCAGTCACACGGGTGCCACGATGAAAATAAGTGCTGCCGCACGATGGTTCAGACGATCTATCGAGCTCCTGAACGCGGGTTCGGATAAATCGACATTATCTCATAATATCAAGGTGCGCCCTTGGTGTTCCAGACGAAGATATGACCACGTCGCTCTGATGCGTTGGGCATTCACAGGCCATCACACGGGACGGCTATGGTGAGAGACTATGTTGTGCAATCAAGAGACAGAAGTGATATGCGATTGACCGCCCTGTGACTGTAAGACGTGGCTCGTCTGCTTTTGGGCTACGCCGCCAACGGGGCAGAGGGACATTTACAAATGTTTTTGCAACGTCAGCTTCTCCAGGTCGGAACCCATTCTGGTTTGGCTCTCAACCCCATGGCTGCCATGGCAACCTCAAGGGACAGCACATGTAGTACCAGGTTTCACAAGGCTATTCTACACAGTCTCCAAGCTACTCTCACGGAGTCAAGTCCAGATTCTCTCGAGGTCAGCGACAAGATGGCACTCCTGGTGCTACTGTGGAAAGCTGGGGACTCGGCGTTCACATGCAAGAGATTTGACGAGGCTGCCGAGTACTTCGCCCTGGCGAGTCTGCCTCCTGTCTACTTGGATGAGGCGACGCAAAGCAACACCATTCTCAAAGCAGCTGTCGCACTGCTGCATGCCGACTCCCCGCATCGAGCATGGTCAATTCTCGCAAGGATACCGCAAGGCCACGAAACTTCTTTTCTGTATAAGATCATTCGCCTCACCATAGCTGTCAAGCGGGAGGATTTGGATGAAGTTTCTATTCTGCGCCATGTCGACGATCTCATGCAATCGCAAGGATTCGAGGCAGTTGCCCTTCTTCCACTTCTTGAACATTCATTGAAGCATGGGCAACTCGTGCTAGCGGTGAAAGTGATGACAAGTCTAGTCAAAGACAGCCGACACTCCGCAAGGCTATCGAAAGGGCTCGATATAGCTCGGATGGAGCATGCAATAGCCATTGCGATGAATCATGTCACCGCGGACAACGCTCATTCGCTTGATGTTGCAGCCAGTACGGCTCGACTTCTGCAACAGCGGATTGCTGGAGCCTTCCACACACCACCGCACATAATTCTTTCGATTGGCAAGATTTGCTTTCGGCTCTCGATGGCAGCAGCTCCTGGAGTGTCTCAAGTCCTCAAGAACGAGCTCCGCGAGGCGGCCACCGGTCTTCTGCGCACAATAAGAGACAAATCGAGCTCATGCTGGATGCTCGCTCTGCTCTCGGTGCTACGAGTTGAGCATGAGTTGCAGCAGTCGCTCAACATGCCGATACAGGGGGAAGCGCTGCACGGTTTGCTTTCTTCTCTGTACGAGGCCGAATTAGCGCTCTCCACAGTGACATCAATTGACGAAGCTGTGTGTCAGCGCGTCCTCCTCTGGATCTCACATCTGACCGCCGAGATTCGTATCCGCATGCGAGATTGGGATGGGCTACACAGGTGCATCGTCAGTGCTAAGCAAATCGCGACTGATCCTCTCTTGCAATTTTCTGTCCTCGAACCGATCGCTGCCATGATGACAACATCCACTACTAACCTTGCGCCGCTGAAACTTGTCTTCTTCCTGGCGGAAAGCATTCTTAGCGCTCTACTCTCTTCGCCTCTCTCGGCTGCGCCTGAGTGGACGAAAATCGCTGCCTGGATCCGAAGTCTCGTCCTCAGCACAGAACTGATGAGCCATTCCAGGTTTACGGCCGCTGCAAATTATGGCGCGATGCTTGCAAAAGTCGAGGAGGCAACGGTGCACCTACGGGTGATTCTGGACGGTCATCATCATCGAGATTACCCACCGTCAGAACTGCAGTGGCTTGCAACACGATTGTGGGCTTTGGGTATGCGGAATTTGGCCAATGGTACTGCTAGGGTTGGTGAAAAGCTGTGCGGTCAGGCCCTCTCCATGGCGAACTTGTGCGAGAATGCCGACGAGCTCGTGTCTCAGGTATGCAAAACCTGGGCGATAGCAATCACAAGAAGATTCTGATACCACTCGTGCTTTCTTTCTCCAGTTCACAGCCGAATATGAATGTAGCGTCGACAAATAAATTGCGGCTGTGCCGGGCACGTCTCCCTGAGCATCAGTTGCAAATGAATTATCTCTGATGCGAGCAGTATAGAATTCCGGCCCCGCCCAGATAATATTTTCGTAGAGCATGAGATTGAGGAACCTAGCGTGACATAAGAGTACAGAATGAAAGTGCTTAACCGTGCTTGGCTTTCTGCAAGATGAATCAATGGGTGGCAGGGTCAGTAACTTTGATGTCAAAGCCGGAACCATTGTCAGATGCAACTCACTGTGCTCTTCAGTCTCCTGACGTAGTGCTCGAGCTCGGCTCCCTCGAGAATGTACCCGTCAGCACGGCCGCTCTGACCGGGACGCGAAGAAATGACGGCGTAGAGACGGCCAGCGCCGAATTGCTGCTCAACCAGAGTGTCGATCTTGGCCGACTGCTTGCGCTCTGTCAGCTTGCGCTCAACAGCGCGGCTCTTCTTTTGAGCCTCGACCTCCTCGAGCGCACCTTGGCCGGCAGCGCGGCGCTTGGTGGTCACAGACTGACCGTAGTGCTTCTCGTACGCCTGACGGAAGGGGGTGGCATCGACCTGAACGACGGCGTTCTTGACAAGGGTGTTGGTGCGGACCAACTCGTTGTTCGAGGCGTTGAAAACGACCTGAAGGATACGGGTCTTGGCCGTGATGTGCTCTGAGCCCCATGCAAAGTTACCGCTAAGAACAAAAAATTCAGGAAGGGTCAGTGACTCGTTCGAAGCTTGGCTGTGACGTGTGGTTTTGCAGTGCCAATGCAATGCTGTGAGCCCTAACCAGGCGTCAGAGGCATTGTGCACTCTCATGCCCATTGTAGACTTAAAATGCCCGACGACACGAGCCGATATCTGTCCTGACATGAGTCCACGAGTCGACTCCCAAGTTCGAAGCCACCGTTCGGTGTGACCATACCAGTGCTCCAGAGCCACTTCACAAAGGAGCAGAAAACTTAGTGCAAAGTTTACGGCCTCCTTTCCAAGCCAACAGAGCATCCAGGATTGCTGCGACTACGTCTTGGCATAATCCCACCAAGCTCACTCATCTCCAGCTGTCTTCCGACGACCCAGCCTGGGCGTTTCACTTCCTTTTGAATGCTCACCTCTCGAGACGAAGAGCCCGGTGCTTGATGTTACCACCGCGCACGCGGACAGTGTGAATCCGCTTGGCACCGATACGGGTGTTGGCGGCCTGACGACCGAGCTCGAACTTTCTCTTCTTCCGGTAGTGAGCTCTGCGGGCGCCCGAGGCGGCCCTCTTGTGGCGCGAATCCCTAGTGAGACCCATCTTGATATCTTTGCTGGCGAAACAGAGAGGTACGAATGAAGGAAAGTTGGAGATGGAGAAGTATGAACTTTTGGCAGCGAGCGCGAGAGGATGCGAGCCTGCGAAGCGCATCGAGGCCGACGCCTATGGGCGGAGCGGGGGCAGGCGACGACGGCGGCGGAGCGGAACGACAACCGACTTGCCGCAGCACTTCAGCCCACAATGTTCCGCCCGCTCTCACTTGCTCACCTTGCGCGAACACCCGCCGGCCGCCAGCCACACCAGTCCCAGCAGTCACCGACTCCAGCAAGTGCCGCCAAAGTCACATTTGAGCTTCTCACTGTCGGGATTTACTTCTGGGCTCACTCCCCATTGGACCTTCTCGCCAGTCACCTTCAAGGACACCCTCAGCAAGGTTGGTATGCACTGCGGGCGATGTTTGGCTGCATGTTTGGTAAAGGAAAGTTCGGAGATACAAGGACCCTGCGTGCAGGGGTGATTGACTAGGGATTGCGTCAAAAGGCAAGGATCACGAGCCTTTCGGCGACTGGGTGATGGATGCAGACAAAACTTGCGGATAAAGATGGGCATTGGAGAGGGGACTGGGGTAGCCCACAAGGTCGTTTAGGAGGATCGCATGCGCAGCACAGCAACTGGGGCATATAATCCACAGATGCAAGTGAGCAATCGTGTGACTGTATCGATGAATCTGACCTTCCGCCAAATCTACAGATGGCCCAACGAGTCACTCTCCGTAAGCGTACGCCGTACAACACCAAGTCCAACCGGCGTCGTGTCATCAAGACCCCGGGCGGCAAGCTTCGTTACCTTCACATCAAGAAGCTTCCCACTGCGCCGAAATGCGGTGACTGCCACACGAAGCTGCCAGGTATTGAGGCTCTCCGGCCTCGGGAGTACGCCAATGTCAGCAAGACAAAGAAGACTGTCAACCGGGCATACGGTGGAAGCCGATGCGCAAACTGCGTCAGGACAAGGTGAGCGTCATTAGATCGATTAAGGCGGATGATCGCCAGGCGGGCCTGGGTGGTTTAGCAGAGAAAGCTAGATCATGTGAAGCCAGTAACGGGCTCAGACGCGAGAAGGAGATTGCGGCTTGTCGTCTGGAACTTGGGCTCTGCATAGGCAGTGGAGCCATGAAAAGCAAGCATGGATTGCAATTATCCTGGCGCATGAGCTTTAAACATCAAAGGAAGGAGTTGCTCACGCATATTTTCCTTTTAACAGAATCATCCGCGCTTTCCTTGTCGAGGAGGCCAAGATTGTCAAGCAGGTTGTCAAGAATGCTGCCAAGGCCAAGTAAATGCCCTCACAATGATGATCGCCTTGATGCAGACCAGTCTTGCAAGGCTCTCATCCGGCGGAGCCCGAGGGCGCTCAGCTCCGATATGATTGACTGAGAGTCAAAGCAGGGGACATCGGGCGATGGAGCGACGTTCAATTGCTCGTCGCGTGGTCGCTTGGAAGAGAGCAACAGCAGTCGCTCTGTCCACTCTTGGATGCCGCGTCGCATGCAAGCACTACGCAAGCATATGTATAGTACCACAAAATGACATGCCTCGACATGCTCAGATCAGGATCTGCTTTTACGAAGGGTCGAGGTGGATTTCAGGCTTGGACATGATGCCTGGAAGCAATTATGTCTGTCTGGGTACATTGTGGAGACGTGCGCAAATGCTGCAGAGTTACGGGACAAGGATGCTATGGATTGAAGGTGAGACCGACTGGGAAGCTGTTCATCATGCTTGGCGTGCTGGGCCTCGTGATGCCAGGTGTGACGCCAGGCGTGGCAGCCAGCGTCTGCTGGTGGTTGCAGAAGATGGATGTAGCGGGTATGGTGTCCAAGCCGTGGCCACCTGTGCCATCGAGCGGGCCACCGAAACCAGGGGGGAGGAGCGATGACCAGAAGCTCTCATTGAGGAGCTGATCGGTATTGTTGTTGACGGCGTTGAGCATCTGCGTGGCGTCCATGCCCTGCATGGTGTTGATCGCTAGGTCATCGCGTCCGCCTGGCATCATGGTGATGCCGCCCGAGACGGCAGGGCCGCGGTTGACGATCGACGGATCGATAGCGTTGCCATTGAAAGCAGCCATGCCCGACTGTCCATTGTGATCGGTGTTGTGCAGGGTCGTTGTCTCTGTGGCGTCTGCGGCACCGCTCGGCGTACCTGCCCTGGACCCGCGGTGCGGTGTCGCTGCGCCTGAGCGGGTGCCTTCTGTTTGATCGAGGCGCGATTGCAGAAGGGTACGCAGGAATGTGGCATACAGAGCGGGTGTATGAGTCTCGTTGACGGCGAGCTCATCGAGGAAAGAGGCAGTCTGCGAGACCGTTTGCACCACCGAATCCTCGTCCGAGTATCCCGAGAAGGCCGGTCGGATGAGCTGAAGAAAGGAGATCAAATATGAGCAAGGGTCATTGCTAGAAGAAACGAGCACATCCCAAGGCTCAGAAGACTGACCTTGAGCAAAAACACGCAAGCATACGTAATCATGACGTATTGCGAATCAGGAGCGTAGCGCATCACCGGGCCCAGAGCGAAAGCGGCCTGGACCATGCCTCGTGCAGCAGTGAGGCAGCGCATGTAGTCTGCGAGCGCGGTGATCAAGATGTCAGGTGCGGATCTTCCCTCTCGGCGGAAAGAGGCAGGGATATGGAGGGACTAGCTGAAGACTTACACATTGGTTTATCCAAGCCGGTAAGAGCGGGATGGTCGATGGCGTGTTGTAAGCCAAAGCTATTGAGGACGAGAACAGCGTAGCTGTGTGGAAGGATCATAACAGTGTCAGCCGAGCGGCGTTCAGTGAATATGTTGCTCTGCATTCACT